GTTAGGACCCTGCACTTTCACTGCAGGGGGCACAGGTCCAATCCCTGGTCGGGAACTAGGATCCAGCATGCCTCAGGGCATGGCCAAATTTAAAAAAAAATCCCAGCATGGACTAAATAAGGAGACTCCAGCAAATGGGGTCAATAGACTGGAACTGGGGAAAGGACTGTATCAGCAACCCCAGTAAAGGGGAAATGCAGGGTGCAACTTGTGAAAGGGATTCCAAACAAGCAGGAGATTGCAGACTGAACTAAGAACTAGGGACTAGGGTTCTGGATGGAACCATCTTCCAGCTCAAGCTGACCCACTAAACCCTTGACTGGAAAGTCAATTCGATTGGGAGTACAACAGAGAGCAGAGCTCAGAAATGAGAGGAACTGGGCTTCCCTGGTGGCGCAGTGGTTGAGAGTCCGCCTGCAGATGCAGCGGACACGGGTTCGTGCCCCAGTCCGGGAAGACCCCACATGCCGCCGAGCGGCTGGGCCCGTGAGCCGTGGCCACTGAGCCTGCGCATCCGGAGCCTGTGCTCTGCAACGCGAGAGGCCACAACAGTGAGAGGCCCGCGTATCACAAAATGAGAGGAACTTATCCACAACCCTCAGAAATGGTGAGAAAGACAGTGAACTTGAAAAAAGGTTTGCTGGTACCACGCCTGTGTGTGTGTTTTTTTAAATTAATTAATTATTTTTTGGCTGTGCTGCATGGCACACGGCATGTGGGATCTCAGTTCCCTGGGATGAACCTGTACCCCCTGTGGTGGAAGTGAAGAGTCTTAACCACTGGACCACCAGGGAAGTCCCCCACACCTCTGTTTCTGGTCATCTCTGAATACCATTGGAAAGTCCTTTGATCCCACTGCTGCCACCAAATCTGTTAAATAGCAAAAATTCACTGAGTAAATTTAAAGATCAAATTGGCTTTATTGAACAATTGATGAACTGGGCAGTGTCCCATCTGGCAAGTAGAAAGGCGCACCACTGAGCTTCAGAAAAGGAAAGGTTTTCAAAAGTGGAAGGGAAATTATTAGCAAAGAATGCATGGTTTCAGGCAATGCCGCCCTCCTAAGGGGGATGGAGGGGGCCTATCAAGGGGATTACCTCACTAGTGCTGAGCAGGAAAACCCAGATCGACTGGTTAAAGGTCACACTCCTGGGAAAGACTGAAAGTGCAATTTGGCTAGGTAGTAAGTTTTGGCTTGCTGACATGGGATTCAGCACAATTGTCTCTGGTGTCTCTTTTTAACACATGATGTCATAATCCATACAAGACAGGGAGGCTGCTGTCACACCCCCCACATCCCACTTGGGTTTATGCCCCATCAGAAGCCCCACCCTGCCCTCTCACAGGTACCAATATCCCAAACTTTTAAAAATCATTTCCTTTCATTTACTTTTAGTTTCATCAATAATTTTTCCTGTTTTATATTGCATATAGAGTCAAATGGTATGTATCATTTTATATCATGTCTTTTTTAAAAAATATCAGCTTTAACAGTCCACTTTTAAAATTTTATTTATCTTTTAATTTTAGCTGTGCTGGGTCTTCATTATGGCACAAGGGCTTCTCTAGTTGTGGCACTCAGGCTTAGCTGCCCCTCGGCATGTGGGATCTTAGTTCCCCAACCAGGGATCGAACACACGTCCCATGCATTGGAAGGTGGATTCTTAACCACTGGACCACCAGGGAAGTCCCTATCAAGTGTCTTTTACTCAAAAATGTTTTGCCGTCCACAGCTTGATAATTTATGCACTTTTATTAATCTATTTTTAAGCTTGTAGGACTATAGCATTTTCATGTAATGATTCAACTGTTAGGAGCTTTTTTTCCCCACATTTTTGCCATTGGGGCCAATGTTTGTAATAACATTCTCTTACAATATGTTTTTTTTTTTTTAATTTATTTTTATTTTTATTTTTTGGCCACACCACGGGGCATGTGGGATCTTAGTTCCCAGACCAGGGATCAAACCCACCAACCCCTTGCAGTAGAAGCTCAGAGTCTTAAGCACTGGACCGCCAGGGAAGTCCCTAAAATATTTTTTAAACTGTAATAAAATCTAATAAAACTCTCATAAGTTTATTTTCTGCCTTAGTATGCCCTGATCTCATCTTCATCTCAGCACACTCCAAGTTCAACTCCTTACACTCCACCAATATTCTTCTCCACTGCCCATGACCTACATGTCAGTTGATGGCAATACCATCATGCCAGTTTTTCCTGCACAAAATAACAGAGGCACTCTTGACTCTTCCTCTCACCCCACCTGCAAGCCATCAAGAAATTCTGATGGCTCTTACTTCAAATTCCATCCGGGCTCCAACCTGGCACATCATTGCCACTGCTACCAACCCCATCTGATCCACCACCTTAAGTGACAACATCCTAGAGTCTATTCTCAAGGTAACACAGGGACTTTGTAAAGCTGCCTCATCTGGCCACTTTTAGGCTCTATGTCACTCATGGCCAGTGTCAGTGCACCACAGCAGGTCAGTGCATCAGGACATGATGTGCCTACCCACCACCATTGCTCTCCTCTCACCTCTACTGTTCTTGCCACCAGCTCACTCTGCTCCAGAAACACTGGCCTCTGGCTGTCCTTCAAATATCCAAGGCCCACACCCTCCTTAGGAACTACATTAGTCTGCTTGGGCTGCCCTAACAAAGCACCAGAGACATGGTGGTTTAAACAACAGAAACTTATTTTCTTACGGTTTAGGAGGCTGGCCGTATGAAATGAAGTGATCAGCAGTGCTGGCTACTTCTGGAGGCTCTGAGGAGGAACATGTTCTAGGCATATCTTCTAGCTTCTGGAGGTTGCCAACAATCCTTCGCATGACTTGGCTTGTACAGAGATCACATCAATCTCTGCTCTGTCTTTACATGGTGAAGACATGTCTGTCTCCTGTGCAGGTCTCTGTGCCCAAATTTCCCTCTTTTTATAAGGATACACATCATTGGATTAGGACCTACACCAATCCAATATGACCACATCCTGATTACATCTGCAAAGACCTTATTCCAAATCAGGTTGTGTCAGTGATTCCAGGTGGACATGAAATCGGTGGTGGGGCAGGGGAGGACACACTACTTAAGTCAGTACATATGTATGTATTTTATGTGGGGGGCTGTGCCGTGTGGCACGAGGGATCTTAGTTCCCTGACCAGGGATCGAGCCCATGCCCCTTGCATTAGGAGCGTGAAGTCTTAACCACTGGACTAGCAGGGAAGTCCCACACATTTGTATATATTTTAATAATCCATTTAGGTATCAACTTCCAGTGTTATCTGAAATAGTTAGTTTACTCTTCCGCTATAATATTCCCTGGAATAAATGAATGAATGAAACTTCCATCTCCATATCCCTCTCATCCCCACTGTGCTACATTTCTTGGTACTACTGTGAAAGGTCAATGAAATCTAAAGGTAGATATGTTTCTGCTGAATTGTTGTTTCACTGAGGGTAAGGCTGGGAGGTGTTTCCCAGGATCCCCGTCTTTACGATTCCAGGTTACAATTCAGCAACAGCTTAACTCATATGAGATTTGGAAGGCACCAGTGAAGAAGTCATTCCTTCCAGGGTTTGGAACCACCATATACAGACAGACCAGTGCACAGGGGTTTGTGGGGCAACCAGGTAGGAGCTCGTGATCACCAGCCAGGTCAATCAAGTAAGTAATCAAACCAGATGCCAACTTTTTCTCTTCCATTTTCTAGGGGTCCTGGCTTCCACATGTAACCTCTATAAACCCCCATCATGGATCAGATTCTGTAGCCAGAAATCCACAGGGTTGGGTTCATCAAACATGTCTGATTGGGACTGTTCCACATGGGCAGAGCCAGAAGTCAAAAAACGGTGCTGGAACTCAGGCTCACCAGGTTGCCATGCATCTCTGTCTCCTGATGGTACAGAAGACCTGAGAATCATGGTTTCCACACTTCTGCTTTCCAGACCTCTTGCTTCTTCCTCATCTTAAGAACTTTAACTCAGAACCACTAACAGAAAGACTCTGGATATACAGTTTCCCACCTTACCCAAGCTGACAACACAATTCAGTAGAACCGTCTGGACAGGAGCTTTCATCTTCGTGCCAGCAAGTTGCACTTCTTAACTCAATTATCATGTCCGATTTCCAACCAAGATCATGGACATGAACAGAGGCCAAATTACAAACATAATCAGATGAGAATGTTATTTTCCAAGACCTTCCACAATTACTAATTCCTGAAAAACAAAGATATGGTATCTGCTAGCAACAAACAACTTGGAAGACACACCTTTCAGTAATGAAGGTGAATGGGGAGGGTAAATATTGAGTCAGAAAATTCCAGTATCTGTAACAGTGGACCAGGAAAGACATTTCAACAATACAGACCTCATATCATGATCACATATTAGGAAGATAATGCAAAGTAAGAATCAAAAGCTTTTCACCTAAAAATTATACCAAGTTACACATGAAAAAAAAAAAAAACTGAAAACCACCTATCATCCCTGGGTTCAAAAGACATCATAATGGGAATTCCCTGGCAGTCCAGTGGTTATGACTCTGTGCTTCTACTGCAGGCGGCATGCATTTGATCCCTGGTCAGGGAACTAAGATCCTGCAGGCTGAGCAGGGCAGCCAAAAAAAAAAGACACTGTAATGGAAATGAGGCAAGCTTTATATGACTGTATGATTATTTAAAGTTGGAGATAACAAAATATAAGTAGTACAGATGAAGTAGACATAGAGAGATAGTTATTATCTTAAGTATTCAGATCAGCAATATGAGCTAGAAATTAATACACTGGGATCCCTATTCAGGATGAGGCACTTACCAAGGCAAAACCATATTTATCTCTGTTAAAAGATTTCTATTGTGCTCTGAGTTTTCACGTACAAAGTAAGTGAAGTGCTGAAGGTTTTCCCACGTTTTCCCTCTCATAAGTTTTCTCTACAGTGTGCTGCTCCCATTACAAGTTTGAAGAGAGAATGAAGTCTCTCCCATGGTCCTTGGATTCAGAGTTTCTCCCCAGCGTGTATCCTCATGTGTCCTCGCAGGTTTGCGGGGTACCAAAAGGCTTTGCCACATTGCTGACATTCATAGGGCTTCTCCTCACTGTGCATTCTTACGTGCTTTCGTAAGGACGAGGGCCAACAGAAAGCTTTCCCACACTGTGTACATCTGTAGGCTCTCTCCCCACTGTGCGTTCTCATGTGTCCTCGAAGGGAGGCATGGCGAGTGAAGGCTTTCCTGCAGTGCTGGCATTCGAAGGGCCTCTCCCCAGTGTGCGTTCTCTCATGCTCCCGGAGGGATGTGGAACAACTGTAGGCTTTCCCGCATTCCATACATTCATAGGGTTTCACTCCGCTGTGCATTCTCACATGCTTTTTAAAATATCGCTGATGCCTGAAGGCTTTCCCACAGTGCTGACATTCATAGGGTTTCTCTTCGCTGTGTGTTCGTGTGTGTTCTCGAAGGGATGAGGAGCAACTGTAGGCTTTGCCGCATTCCATACATTCATAGGGTTTCATGCCACTGTGTGTTTTCACGTGTCTTCTGAAGTACTTGGGACAACTGAAGGTTTTCCCACATTCCTTACACATGTAAGGTTTCTCTCCAGTGTGCATTGTCACATGTCCTCCCAGGGATGCAGAATATCGGAAGGTTTTCTCACATTCCTTACATTCATAGGGCTTCTCTCCAGTGTGAGTTCTCACATGCCGTGCAAGGTAGGAATAATACATAAAGGATTTCCCACATACTTTACACACATGGATTTTCTGTCGATGGTGACCTCTCTCACGTCCCTTAAAGGATGAGGAACAAGTGAGAGCTTTTCCAGACTTCTTACACTCTAAAGACTGTTTACTACTGCCACTCTTCACATATCTCTTAGATGCTCTCCCAGCATCCTGATGTTTTTCGGGTTTCTCTACAATGTATGTTTCCCCAGGAGGATTTAGGCACAAGACACAGCTGCAGGCTTCCCCACATTCTTCACATGGATAAGGTTTGTGTCCAGGGTGAGATCTTTGCTGATTCTTCTGGAAAGAACAATCCCTGAAGACTTTTCCACACTTAGTGCATTTATAGGGCTGAATTCCAGTCAGATAACCCTTATGCACAGTATGATGTGTAATCTGGTTCAGGGTTTCTCCATATTGATGACCTTCATTACCTTTGCAGAGATGCTCCACCAAACCATTTCTGTTCAAAATGGGAAGAACAGTATTAGGGATTAATGATTATAACTGATTTCTTCATTAATGATTTATTGATGGTTGTTCATTATTATTTTCACTATGTATTTGCCATTTTCAAGGAATGGGTATGTTGTACGCACTGTCTGCATTGTGACAACATGTAACAAGCTTAATGCTCTGGCTGAGGGCTCAGTTTCTTACATACAGGGTTTCCTGGTCATTGTTTCCAACTGAATTATGTTTCAGATACCTCACATTTATGAAAGTATCCTCTTGTGAAAATTTTCCAAGTAAAAAATTGTTTAGCTAGGTTTATACCTTTTCTTTAGTTTCAAGTTAGTCTAACAGTCTGCAGAGATCCGCCTTCCCCTGTAGCTGTGCCACTCACCTGAAATCCCTCTCCTGAGTTTGGTGACCTCGGATGTTATGAAATATCCAGTTTTCTCCAAAAACAGAACAGGAATCATTTCTTGTGCATCTTACTATTTTCTTTTCACTGCATAGTTCATTCTCCAAAATATCCCATTGAGGACTTGATCCACTGGTTTTAACTTGAGGGCAAGAACCTGCAATAGTTGGTAACATAACTAAATCCTCGGGAAAGAAATGGTGGGATAAAGGAAAGAAAAGAGACCATATGCAGATTTCTTTCCATATACTGACCCAAAAATGTAAACACATTTTATAAGGAAAAATGGACACGGGAACAAAGAAAAACTCTGAGGACCCTGGCTATTTGGAACTTTGGCCATCGTACGAAAAATGAGTCAAAGTGGCAGCTTGTTCACTAAGAGATACTTCAAAAAGAATGGAGACTGATGTCGAGATTAGTATTTTCAGAAAAGTAAAGTAGCATGGAACTGGGTAAAATGCACATTCCCAAATGCTCCCTTTGTAAGAGGAGCTACAGAAAGACTTCCCAAGTGGGCAAGGATGGATGAAAACTCCAAGAGGGAAGCCAGGTTAATGACAAACATCACCTTCTCAAAGACAGAGTCATATTTCTAACAGGTATGTCCAAATATCACTCCCTGATCCAGAACCTTCTCCTCCCGAGAGGTGTGCCCTCCTGGTGATTGCAGGCACAGAGGCCCTAGACGAAGCCTATCTCCACTGACCCAGCTGCCACTGGGAGATCGGATGGTGTGTGGCTTCTGTCTTGCTCATGGAGAAAAGCTCCTCATGGGGAGGATAAAGGACAACAAGCCATCCATGAGATGGGCCAATTCTCTGGTCCTCAAGTCACTGACAATGGGTAAGTGTGGGTTTAATTGCAGCAAAATTATCATGTCAAATGTATACCGATCACAGTGTAACTTCCACAGGGTGAAAATCATAACGCTGCTCCCACTGCTCTAGGCGACACTGCAGACTATGCTCACATTTATAAAATTCGGGACCCTCAGGATTCTAATCAAGAGTGACAAAAAGTCAATCAATACAGTAAACTTTGTTTTCATAGAAAAGCTACCTGACCCTAGGTAGGTTTCATGAAAGGCTGGACTGTGCCTGTCTTTTTTCCAACATGTTCCCATCCTTGTTCCTAATAAGAAAGGACAACTGTAAGAAATATTTGTTCCCTAAAGACTAAGTGCAGGGAGGAAGCCATCCTCACCCACGGAGGCCAGGTTCCTGAAGGTCTCCAGCATCACATCTCTGTAGAGCTTCCTCTGAGCCGGGTCCAGCAAAGCCCACTCCTCCACGGTGAAGTTCACAGCCACGTCCTCAAAGACCACCGAGTCCTGAAACAGCCACAGTTTCTATATCAGCAAGGCCCCCTCTTCACCACTGTTTGTGGGAGGATGGGGAGGCCGACAGTCAGGAACCGGACTCAATTCCTAGAACTCCTGAGCTTACACTCTTGTGGGAAATGAACACACACAAGCCAATCAAATGCATTTTACTCAGTGATGCTAAGTGCTGGAAACTGAAGCAAAGTGTAACAGCAATACTTGATAAATACTCACACACACATAATTAGAAAGAATTGTTTTTACTGAAAGAGTATATCCTAAGGTATGATAAAGACTGAAAAATGAAATCATCATTCAGATAACATGGAAATGGATACCTGGCTTGGTCAAAAGCTATTACTACCTTGTCACCTCCAAGAACCGGAAACAGAACGTCAGTGCTGCTGGATCTGAATAACGCTTAACTTGAAGGCAAAAGCAGCAGGGAGTCTGGTCTAGCCCCCTCATATCCAACAGAGGCAGAGATACGACCCCCTGCCAAGATGAGATGGACACTAGGGGTATACAGGCAGTCCAGGGCCCAGGGCCTGGCACATCCACTGGGTAAGAAAAGGCCTGGTTCCTCAGGAATCTGTCAAGCCAGCGGGGCTTCTCAAATAAATAACAGAGTGCTCGGAATTCAAGGAAGAGGCCCCACAAACAAGAGCTGTTGAAGGATCTAATGGTAATGGAGTCAAGTTGACTTTAACAGGGAGAAAAAAGAACCTAATTATTATTTTTAGAGGAATATTGGGGACTTGCCAGGTGGCACAGTGATTAAGAATCTAACTGCCAATGCAGGGCACACGGGTTTGAGCCCTGGTCCCAGAAGATCCCACATGCCACGGAGCAACTAAGCCCATGCATCACAACTACTGCACCTGTGTGCTACAACTACTGAGCTCACGTGCCTCAACTACTGAAGCCTGAGTGCTCCAGGTCCCACGTGCCACAAATGCTGAGTCCACGTGCTACAACTACTGAAGCCTGTGCACCTAGAGCCCATGCTCTGCAACGAGAAGCCACTGCAATAAGAAGTCCACACACCTCAAAAAAGAGTAGCCCCTGCTCACCACGACTAGAGAAAGCCTGCCTGCAGCAATGAAGACCCAACACAGCCAAAAATAAATAAAATTTTAAAAAAAGCAATATGGGACCACACTGCGCTGATGATATAAACAGACACTGACAAAATTAAAAATTAGAGATTGTTTAAAACAAAAAATATGGTCTCAAAATCTGAAGGAAAAAAAATCCCCACAATATCAGCTACAAAGAAGGCAAGGTTACTTCAACTAGGGTTGCAACTGGGTTTGCTAATCACACACCTGATGAGAGGCTTGTATCAGAAATATATTTTAAGAACTCATATGACAACCATAAAAAAATAAAAGTATAAAAAACAAATAATACAGTTAAATAATGGGGCAATAAATGTGAATAGACAATTCTCCAAAGAAGATATACAAATGGCCAATAACCATATGAAAAGAGGCTCAATAGCATGAATAATTGGTGATCCATATACAAAATTGAACTGTGGAGAGACATTTCCCAACCCCTTCTATGAGGCTTGTATTACCCTGATACCAAAACAAGAAAAAGACATCACATGTAAAGAAATCTACAGAGCAGTATTCCATATAAATATAGACAAAAAAATTCCTCAAAAATATCCACAATCCAAATCTAGAGAAATATAAAAAGTACTAAACACCATCACCAAGAGGGATTTATCCCAGGAATAAAAAGTTTGGTTCAAAGAAACAAAGCATTGGTATCATATACCTTATTAACAAAGAACAAAAACCATATGATCACCTCAATAGACTTGGGAAAAGTATCTGTTAGAACATCATCTTTTCATGATGTTCTTCTCTAAGTGGAAAAGACCACAACTAGAAATATAAAAACCAGAAAGGAAAAGTTACACTGGTAAAGTCAAAGATAAAGTAAAGGTAGTAGATCAACCACTTACAAACCTAGTAGGAAAGTTAAAAGACAAAAGTAGTAAATTTATCTATATCCATAATAAGTAGTTAAGGAATACAGAAAACAACATATGCAAAATACAATACAAAAAATATTAAAGGACTTCCCTGGGGGTGCAGTGGTTAACAATCCACCTGCCAATGCAGGGGACACGGGTTCGTGCCCTGGTACCGGAAGATCCCACATGCTACAGAGCAACTAAGCCGGTGCACCACAACTACTGAGCCTGTGCTCTAGAGCCTGCAAGTGACAACTACTGAAGCCTGCGTGCCTAGAGCCTGTGCTCTGAAACAAGAAAAGCCACTGCAATGAGAAGCCTGTGCACCGCAATGAAGACCCAATGCAGTCAAAAATAAATAAATAAATAAAGTTAAACACAAGTGGGAGGACTAAAAATGCAGGGCTGTTAGAACTTAAGGTAATCATGTATATAGAAAGTTTGCTATGTATAAACCTCATGGTAACCACAAACTAAAAATCTATAATAGATACACACAAAAGAGAAAGTAATCCAGACATAACACTAAAGATAGTCATAAAATCACAAGAGAGCAAAAGAAGAGTAAAGGACAAAAAAAAGCTATAAAAACAACCAGAAAGCAATTAACAAAATGGCAATAAGTACATACCTATCCATAATCACTTTAAAGTAAATGGATTAAATGCTCCAATCAAAAGACATAGAGTGGATCCACCACAGGGCAGACAGCAGAAGCAAGAAGAACTATAATCCTGCAGTCTTTGGAATGAAAACCACATTCACAGAAAGAATGACAAAATGAAAAGGCCGAGGACTATGTACCAGAGGAAGGAACAAGATAAAAGCCCAGAAAAACAATTAAATGAAGTGGAGATAGGCAACCTTCCAGAAAAAGAATTCAGAATGATAGTGAAGATGATCCAGGACCTCAGAAAAAGAATGGAGGCATAGATTGAGAAGATGCAAGAAATGTTTAACAAAGACCTAAAAGAATTAAAGAACAAACAAACAGAGATGAACAATACAATAATTGAAATGAAAAATACACTAGAACGAATCAATAGCAGAATAACCAAGGCAGAAGAACGGATAAGTGACTTGGAAGACAGAACGCTGGAATCACTACTGAGGAACAGATTAAAGAAAAGAGAAATGAAGACAGCCAGAAACCTCTAGGACAACATTAAATGCACCAACATTCGCATTAAAGGGGTCCCAGGAGGAAAAGAGAGAAAGAAAGGACCCAAGAAAATATCTAAAGAGATTATAGTCAAAAACTTCCCTAACATGGGAAAGGAAATAGCCACCCAAGTCCAGGAAGTACAGAGAGTCCCAGGCAGGATAAACCCAAGGAGAAACACACTGAGACATACAGTAATCAAAATGACAAAAACTAAGGACAAAGAAAAGTTATTAAAAGCAACAAGGGAAAAAGGACAAATAACATACGAGGGAACTCCTGTAAGGTTAACAGCTGATTTCTCAGCAGAAACTCTACAAGCCAGAAGGGAGTGGCACAACTTATTTAAAGCGATGAAAGGGAATAACCTACAACCAAGATTACTCTACCCAGCAAAGATCTCATTCAGATTTGACAGAGAAATCAAAAGCTTTACAGACAAGCAAAAGCTAAGAGAATTCAGCACCACCAAACCAGCTCTACAACAAATGCTAAGAGAACTTCTCTTAAGTGGGAAACATAAGAGAAGAAAAGGACCTACAAAACAAACCCAAAATAATTAAGAAAATGGTAATAGGAACATACATATTGATAAGTACCTTAAATGTGAATAGATTAAATGCTCCAACCAAAAGACACAGATTGGCTGAACAGATACACAAACAACACCCATATATATACTGCCTATAAGAAACACACTTCAAAACTAGGGACACATACAGACTGAAAGTGAGGGGGTGGAAAAAGATATTCCATGCAAATGGAAATCAAAAGAAAGCTGGAGTAGCAATACTCATAGCAAATAATATAGACTTTAAAATAAGACTGTTACAAGAGACAAGGAGGGACACTACATAATGATCAAGGGATCAATCCAAGAAGAAGATATAATAATTATAAACATATATGCAGCCAACATAGGAGCACCTCAATACATAAGGCAAATGCTAACATCTATAAAAGAGGAAATCGACAGTAACACAAAATTAGGGGGGGACGTTAACACCTCACTTACACCAATAGACAAATCATCCAGACAGAAAATTAATAAGGAAACACAAGCTTTAAATGACACAACAGACCAGACAGATTTAATTGACATCATAGGACATTCCAACTGAAAACAGCAGATTACACATTCTTCTCAGGTGCACATGGAATATTCTCCAGGATAGATCACATCTTGGGTCACAAATCACGCCTTGGTAAATTTAATAAAACTGAAGTCGTCATCAAGCATCTTTTCCAACAACGAAGTTATGAGATTATAAATAAATTACAGGAAAAAAAAACGTAAAAAACACAAACACATGGAAGCTAAAACAATATGCTACTAAATAACCAAGGGATCACTGAAGAAATCAAAGAGGAAGTCAAAAAATAGGTAGAGACAAATGACAATGAAAAAACGATGATCCAAAACCTATGGGATGCAGCAAAAGCAATTCTCAGAAGGAAGTTTACAGCAATACAATCCTACCTCAAGGAACAAGAAAAATCTCAAATAAACAATCTAACCTTACACTTAAAGTAACTAGAGAAAGAAGAACAAACAAAACGCAAAGTTAGTGGAAGGAAAGAAATCCTAAAGATAAGAACAGAAATAAATGAAATAGAAACAAAGAAAACCATAGCAAAGATCAATAAAACTAAAAGCTGGTTCTTTGAGAAGATAAACAAAATTGATAAACCTTTAGCCAGACTCATGAAGAAAAAGAGGGAGAGGACTCATATCAATAAAATTAGAAATGAAAAAGAAGTTACAACAGACACCGCAGAAACACAAAGCATCATAACAGACTACTACAAGCAATTCTATGACAATAAAATGGACAAATTCTTAGAAAGAGGGGCTTCCCTAGTGGTGCAGTGGTTGAGAATCCGCCTGCCAATGCAGGGGACACGGGTTTGAGCCCTAGTCCGGGAAGATCCCACATGCTGCAGAGCAACTAAGCCCGTGCACCACAACTACTGAGCCTGTGCTCTAGAGCCCGTGAGCCACAACTACTGAGCCTGCATGCCGCAACTACTGAAGCCTGTGGGCCTAGAGCCCGTGCTCCACAAGAGAAGCCACCACAATGAAAAGCCCACGCACCGCAATGAAAAGTTGCCCCCACTTGCCGCAACTAGAAAAGGCCGCATGCAGCAACGAAGCCCCAACACAGCCAAAAAAAAAAAAAAAATTCTTAGAAAGATATACCCTTCCAAGACTGAACCAAGAAGAAACAGAAAATATGACAGACCAATAACAAGTAATGAAATTGAAACTGTGA